TTCCGAATGCGGGATTTCGCTGTAACATTCTACTTTGCTCCTCGGTCTGGCGCTGTTTGAGCTGCAGAACATCTCAATGAAGCTCTCCGCTTTACCTTTTGTTCGAAAAACTGCGGTCTCCGTACGGATTTTGCAACATAACGAGACAAAATCTTCGGATCTCGCGAAAACGAACTGAGGACCTTCCGAGCACTGTTTTTATCACTTTGACCATGCTAACCCCCGTTCCCTGGTTTTCTCGTAACTGTCAGGCCTTATTTGTACCGATTAACCTGCAAACTGTCGAATAGTGCACTCTTTAATTTTTTAGCAATTTTACGTGTACTTAAGGCCGGATCATTTATAAACTCGTGCAAAATGGTTTGTCTCGTTTCTAACTCGGTTGCCATTTTTAACTCAACTAGGAATCAAATTCAAATGAAATTTCTTCTACGTTCAACTAAGGTCATGGTCAACTTATGGTATTTGAATTTCCAAATATTGAATTCGTTTTGGGTAAGTTATAAGCTTCCCAAAGTGTCGCAGTTTTGGTGTGTTCACCCTTTATTTATTAATCTCGTAAAAATGTATTCTATTGTTTTTTAAATGAAATACTATATAAAAATAAAATTTGTCTTAAATTTTTGCACAAAAAGTATTTCAAGATAAATAATCTTGTAAATATGCATACTTTTTATGAAAAGATATACAATGCCCGCGTTTTTTTATACATTCCAGAGAATTCCGTTTCACAGCCAGAATAAACAGAATGCGTTTGAAATATACGTTTTATTTATTTTTTTTTTGGATTTCGGGTAGGTTGGCTGGTTTTCACCACCGCCAGGTTATTCCTCTAATTTTAATATATTACTACGTTTATACGCACAGAATAATCGACTTAATTGAAAGCGCATTGACACCGTACACATTTCGCTCTAGTGTTTATACTTACGGCTTTATATCGGCATCAAAATAACCGTCTTCAAAAGCCAACAAAATCAGCTGTTTTCATTTGACATTTTATAAGTTAACATAATGGAAAGTGATAAAAATCTGGTTTTATTCGGCATTATATTATAAAATCGTGGCAAAGGAAAAGAACGATTATTATTAATCAGCTTTTAAATACTGATGCCATTAGGTTCGTTCGCGTAGCTGTTAATTGTTCATGTTTAACCAAAACTTACAAGTTTTTGCGTTCGCGTACGCAAAAAACTTGCAAAGTAGGGGAAATTGAGAGAGCAAAGTGACATTTCATTTTGAGGGGAAGCTGCTGGTTTCTGCTGGAAAAATTNGTCTCTTTGTATGTTATATTCCATTCATGTATTCAATCGTCGCTCCACTGATACACGATGGTAATTCCGCTATGGGCCAGAACCACGTGCACAAGTTTCTGCTATACTTATTTCAAATCTTTATTTTTTATTAAATCTTGATTACATCCACAGAATACAGTAAACCAGCCATTGACAATATGCTTATTTGAAAATTAATATATGAAATATTGTGCATGTATAGGATTCTTTTGTCATTAACCCGTAGGCAATGACTGGTGCAAAAGTACCCACAAATGTTTGTTGATATATTTTGAAATGTAAACTTTAACAGCGAAATTCGTAAAAAAAATAATAAAACAAAAATATTTTTGATTACTACATGGGAGGTGGTCGTGGTTATTGACCGATTTCGTCAAAATTTAATACTAACCTAAATTATACCAAAGGCAACTTCGGCACCGACTTTCGTTAAAATATCTAAATTTTGTTCATGTTAGCGTGTTTACAAATAGACACGACTGAACCAATTCATTTCATCATTCTGAATATTTTGATAAATATGTATGTAAGACTATGTGTATATACATTTTATACGGCTGAAAAACGGCCTCGCCTATTTGCATAAACCTTTTTTATTTGCATTAACTCATGCATTATCTTTTTCAAATGAGAATAAGCGGCTGAACAAATGCATACAAATTTCGTGCATTTGTTCGAGCGTCGATATATCACCCCTATTCTGCAACTCTTTCGTATTCGGATTTTGCTCCGAATCGTATAAATAGTATGCTGCAATCCGAATTGTATTTTCGAACTTTCGAAATTCGTAACAATGGCATGCCCAAAAACGAACGAGTAAGCTTTTTTGTGTCGGAGGCGAGATAAAAGACGTAAATAGATGTGAGTTTTCAGGAAATATTAGTGGTGTTCATTTAAACAGATAAATTTGCCCTTCGCATATAAGTATATTTTTATCCACTGCTTTATATAAACGAGTAAAACAGAACCCTTGTTGCCCCTTATCGAGAAACTTGGGTTCGGTTTAGTTATTTGTACAATGATTTTCGGTTGTTGTGTGATCACGTGTAATCAAAGGATTAAACTTTTATTTAAAATAAATGTTTCAAATTTTCGAGCACTAACATATTAATAAATTCGGTTTGCACTATGCACTTTTTTGCGAATTTCGATGTGGGTTCTGCGCAAAAACACTGTGGATGGCGTAGCCGGAGTGATGTGCACAAGAAGTGTTGTATACCTTTGACATGCGGAAGCCCTTCTTCTCCGGCAACACAGAAAAGAGACTTATACTTAGTAAGGGTTATAATCCCTAAGCGCAAACGAAGGCAGAAGCAAGTTCAACAGGTGGTGGATCTAACAAAGTGCATGTCTTCAATGGCTTGGAAGAAGCTGTTACGCATTAACCGGATTGAGAACCAGTTCTTCAAGCATAGGAGTATTTCTGGCTTGCGGTTCAACGGTGACAGGTAATAAGATCAACGGAAATAAGGTCAATTGACTTTATTTCGCACCAGGGTGGATATTATTACCTTTTTAAAAACGAAATAAAATCAATTGACATTATTTCTCTTTCAAACATTAAATTTGCTTAGCTTCGCGGCGGCCCGCGTCAGCGCGCCACACCGCGCGCGTCGCGCTCGCGCTCGTGCCCCGCGTACCCCGCGCGACCGGCGCGCACACCACGTCACGCTACGCCGCGGCCCCGCGGCCCCCCCTTCCCGTCTCCCCACGTGCTGTAACGCAGGTATATTTATTTTTTGTATACGTTGAAATAAAATTTTTATATATTTTAAACATCGAGGGCTTATATTCAATAATACCCCCTATATGCACACTTTTCACAAAGATGAGATTCTGATATAAAAATCCAC